ACCGCAGAGGAGCCAATCAGCTAGATGTTGCTGGGGCCACTGTGAGCCAATCATCAGCCGGCAGCTGGAAGTTTGCTGGCAGCTGGAAGTTTGCTGGGGCCCCTTTGGCTGTGGCTCTCAACACATCATTGCTGCCAAATTCTCCTCAGCCTCTCTCTGCCCAGAGTGGGATCCTCTCACCCCAGTAGCACAAGTTTACCCAGCAGTAGAGGGACCACTGAGGTCAGGGTAAAGGTGGTTTTGCACATCAGTTTGTTAGCTGAGTGGCAGGTCATTTAACTTCTTAGAGTCTCAGTTCCTTAGTGACAAAGCAGACCTAATGATGCTATTGGCATCTGTCTTAGGAAGTTGTAGGTGTGAGTGGAGATAGTGTATAGAGGCTCTGTCACTGTAAGGTATTATACAGAAATAAGAGGAGGACTTGGTATTATCATGCTTCAACTCTAGACTCATTCATCCAGTCAAAAGTGGTGTTACAACTTGCTTCAAGTGTCTTTAGGTGCTGGAGTACAAGGGGTGAGCAAAGCAGATACAGTCTTTGTGGAAAAGAACCTTAAAATTCATCTGGTTGAGACTTGTACCTTATATAATAAATTTTTTAAATATTATAAAAAATCCTCAAGTTAAGCCGTTTGCCCTAAGGATGGAAAGAAGAGGCAGATTTGAGCAGTATTTAAGAGGTCAAATGTTTATAGATTGATTATATGGAATGAAGATAAAAGGGAAAGATTTCAAAGACTGGGTTTTACCACTAGGATAATTATAAGAGCGGGAGGAAAAGGCAGTTAATGACTTGAGATGAAACACGCACGGAGTGTGAGGTACTTGAGAGATAGCTAAGTGGTGATGACTATGACATTTATTTGTATAGGGAAGTTAAGAAAAAAAATCAAGGCTTATAAACAAATATTCATGATTTATCCTGTTCTGGATGATGGTTAAAGCTGTGAGTATGGATGAAAAGGCCCAGAGACAGGATATAGAAAATACAGTGCTTTAAGAATTAGATATTCCATAGTTTGAAACACCATTTCAGGCTGATCCATTGGGTGGATACTTTTATTTTTAAATCACTAAATTTTTAAGGAGAGAGCTGAGCTACAGAGTATGACTTTGTATTTACTCTAGTCCTGTAAACTTGCATGAGGCTCTGCCCTCATCGCCCATGTTAACACACTCAGCGCTTCCTTAGCACCAGTGCTAGTCACTAGGAAATTAGTCTCTTTTTTCGTTTGATAGCAGTGTTCTCCTCACTTCACAAAACATAGCAGCTTGAGAAATAATCGTTGTGTGATACCAGGAGATTAGGATGAAGAGCAGGCGTCCTATCAGATGCTGCTGCAACAAGGGTAAACCACAAAGAAATATGGAAAGGGAAATAGTGTGTTCAGTTCCGGGATTATGAGTGTGAGGGAAGCGCCTGTCCCATTTCCTGGAGTACGTGCAGGATAGGCTTATGCTGGAGCCTGCCAAGCGCTTGAGACCTTGACCCCATGTTAACCTCGTCATGGTTTTCTCCATCTCCTTGTAACCGTTCATGATTCATTGTTTTTAAAAGGCAGAAACATTTGAGAATTCTTTGATTTTCTAAACTCCCTGTAGGTAAGTTTTTATACTAGTTTATCAAATTCACACACACACACACACACACACACACACACCAGGAATTGAACCCAGGAGCACTGAACTATTGAGCCACATCCCCAGCCCTTTTTAAAATGTTTGATTTTGAGATAGGTTCTCTCTGAATAGCTGAGACTGGCTTTGAACTTTGCGATCCTCCTGCCTCGGCCTCCCAAGCTGCTGGGATTATAGGCATGCACCATCACAACCCACAGTTTAGCAATCTTAAAAGAAAAAGCTGTACCTTGGTCCCCAGATACAGAGACAACCTAATGCTAATGGAAGAGAAGAAAT